TCTTTAGGTTTAAGCCTAAGCTGCCTGACAGATGAAAGCATCTTTAGGTTTAAGCCTAAGCTGCCTGACAGATGAAAGCATCTTTAGGTTTAAGCCTAAGCTGCCTGACAGATGAAAGCATCTTTAGGTTTAAGCCTAAGCTGCCTGACAGATGAAAGCATCTTTAGGTTTAAGCCTAAGCTGCCTGACAGATGAAAGCATCTTTAGGTTTAAGCCTAAGCTGCCTGACAGATGAAAGCATCTTTAGGTTTAAGCCTAAGCTGCCTGACAGATNTATATATATATATATATATATATAAACATTTGAATGTAATTTAAGATCAAATATACAAACACACATGGGTATCACCCATTAGGACGTAATAGATGTTGCTAAAATCTCGTTGTGTCAGTCTATTCGTGTTATTGGAAAGTAAATGTTATTTTATGACTTATTTTACACTGCAAACATAATGCAGAATGTTCTCATATGGATTCCAAACATAAATACGAGGCTGTCTTATCCCACCAGAATATGACGATGTCAGCTCAACAAACCCCGGTCTACGACTATCAGAGGTTACGACAGGATCGTACCCGGACGTTTCATCCGGACTCGGCACAGGTGGGGCGCCCTACCTCAGGGAACACGGGTTCGGTTCGGTTATCAACTGGGGATCAGACTTGCAGTCGCCTGCTGGACGGTCGGCATCTTCGCTGGGACATGGCCACAGCACAGACCAGCCAGGGCTCAATCATGGTCTGGACCAGTGCGGACAAAGCCCAGTTCCAGACCAGTCCGGACAAGTACAGAGTTCTGACGATGAAGGTATTTGTGACAATACTACTTTGAATTATTTGTGACAATGCTACATGAGTTTTCAGCTGTTTGACCAATGACAACTTATTATGTGCCACCAAATGACAACTTACTATGTGCCCCAAATGACAACTTACTATGTGTCCCCAAATGACAACTTACTATGTGCCCCCAAATGACAACTTACTATGTGCCCCCAAAATGACAACTTAATGTTAACATCAAATGACAATGTAATATATCCCATCAAATGTCAAATTAATATTTACTAGTTAAATGACAATGTAATAATATGTCCCATAAAATGACTAATTAATATTTACCAGTAAAATACAATTGTATATGTCCCATCAATTTACAACTTAATATGTACCATTAAATTACAATGAAAAAGTACAATCAAATGAAAAATTAACATGGTATATCAAACGACAACTTAATACGGAACATCAAATGACAAACCAAGATGGGCCTTTAAATAACAGCTTGGCATTTAAGAGTAGCCATAAGAGTTTAGAAGCCATCTTTGCCAAGAGTCCTATACCACTAACACAATTACACTGAAATTGCTAGAGTGGGTCCGGGTTACTATTGCCGTGACGCCCACTGGCCACTCGTTTCCTCTAATGCTCCACTGACATCACTGCCCTGACAACAATTTAAAACAACGGCAAAGCGATTTAATGTGGACAGTAAGAATGTACAATGACACACAGTGCGGTAATTAATCCCTCGTCTGTCACATTTCAGTTTCAAGGAATCGTGGCAATCACTTTCCTCGGGGGGCAGTGTCGCAGTTAAGCTTGGATTAAATTTTAAAAGACTCATCTCCATTTTGTAGCTATATTTGGGAGTCACAGCTCGGATTGGTATAGACTCCGAAGAGTGTCGATGTTTCCGGCTGACATTTGACATCCTCGTGTTTAGAGAACAGAAACACAGCCCAGTAGCAACATCATTTTAACTGTTTGCTTTTTATCATAGCTCCCCCCCCCCCCATCTTTTTATATAAATATATATATATATATATATATATATATATATATATATATTTAAAATCCACATTTGGTATTTTGATCCATGTCATTTCTTGAAGTGTCACAAGTTTACTTAAAAGTATCATTTCCATTCGCTGTCTCAGAGTACCGGCCGTTCACACCCCCGCCCCCGAGAGAACGCCTGAGTTACACGCGGTACCAGCTGGCTCTACTGAATGGCATCTACCAGGAGGTCCGCTACCCTAACGGTACACAGAAACAACTGATTGCCAAACGGGTGGGCATCACCAGGGAGCAGGTCAAAGTAAGTTGTTAAGTAGCAGGTCAAAGGAAGTTGTTAGGAAGCAGGTCAAAGTTAGCTGACAGGAAGGTCAAAGTAAGCTGTTAGAGAGCAGGTCAAAATAAGCTTTCAGGAAGCAGTACAAAATAAGTTGTTTGGAACTAGTCTTCGCATAATGGTAATTTGATACTTAATTTAAATAAGCTTAAATAAATAAGCTAACATTTGCCATGATTTATTGTAAATGTAATTGAACAGCCCACCCACGCTCAGCGTAGCCCCCCCCCCTTACATGGACGCAGCTGATACGATGGACAAGTTAAGTGGAATGGTGCCTACAAGTGTGTGTGTGTATGGGGGTGGGTGGGTTTAGCGGGTGGTGGCGGGGAGGGGTCACGAAATAGTGACGATGTGTGGTATAAGTATAAGTGTCTAATTTTAATTGAAAAAGTGGGTGTGGGGGGGGGGGGTAAAACCTGCGAAAATAGAGTAACGTCCTTATGGATGCCCCGCCCCCCCCCCCCCCCCCCCCCAAAAAGGGGGGGGGGGGGGGGGGGGGAAAACCCTGCAAAAAAGAGGAAAGCCCTTTAGGGATCCCCCCCCCCCCCCCCCCCCCCCACTTAAAAACACGACTGTAAGAACCAATCACACAATGTAGTTCTATACGGAAGTGACGGCAATCTGTTGCACATCTTTAACATGACATCCTGATCAATTAATTTTTTTTTTGGTTAAAATTTGATAATTAAATGAATTAAAATGTAATACTCCGATATGCAGATCCAAATTTTCGCACCCCCCCCCCCGGCTCAATAGGCATTGGATTCTGACTTAAAACTCTCTGCAAGCTTTTTCAGGTTAAATATGTTAAGCTAATGTTGTTGTTTTAAAGCCAAATGTCCGATCAATGCGCTATCGGAACTTACAAAGATTCTTTTACAAACGTTGACCTTGATGTTCAATGTTTTCATGTTAATCGAAACTGCTTTAAGACCCGTTCCTTCGTCATTTCTAGATCTGGTTCCAGAACAGACGGCGTAAGGATGTCGTCACCAAAGTGGGAGGATCTAAGTCCGAATCTAAAGACAGAAATAATCCACAAACTGTGATAACTGATAGCAGCACGTGCTCTAACACCCAGACATCCCAAGACGCACAAGGGAACACCGAGAACCAAATCGAGCATAGTAAGGAGCTGCAAAGGGAAGTAACTCCTAATCCTAATAGCGGGGAAGAACAATCTAACGATAGGTGCAGAGCCAACATTAATGAAAAGCCTGGCGCTGAGGTTGGTGAAGGAAGATCCTACCGCACAAACCAACATATTGATGGATTATCTTCAGCTTCTTCAACAAATTCTCTGTCCCCTGCAGCGGTTTCATCTCAGGTGCTCTCCCCTTTGTCCTCCGTGCCATCACCACAGATTGTCTCCCCTACAACAATGGCGGCCTCTCAGCTTGTCTCGCCGGTTGTCCTACGTAGTATGATCATGGAACTGAACAAATTTGACAACAATTATCTGAAGCAGAAGAAAAGTAAAAAGAAACGAAGCAAACCCAAGTCTGCAAAGGCTGCGCCAGCGCCCTCTCTGCCGCCAAATCCTAAGTTGTTGTCGTCCTTGCCATCATTTTCCTCACTCTCGTCGTGCCAGACTCCTCGCCTTTTCCAGAACTATGACATGATAGCACCGCCGAACAAGCTCACCCCGTCTGCGAACAGGACGTTACATGCCAGCGAGACGTCCGCTTTCCGCAATCCGAGGGGAAATAAAGTGTTTATAACCTCGAACGAAAACCCAACATGGGCGGGGCCTGTGATAGCCACACCCAACTCGGCTCACCCGCTATTCAGTTCCTCTGATTTCATACACCAGTCTTTTCCAAGTGATGGACTTCGTGCAGAAGGGAATCCGTCGACACAAACACATTTAACCAATCATCTCCCTAGCTCAGCTGTTGCTACTTTGTCTCATGCCAGTCACACGCAAGCGTCCATGTACAGCCTTATCGCAGATCACCTCAGCTCCTCTGCGGCGCAGAGAACGGTCTGCTCATCATCCCCAGCAAGCAGGCAACCTGAGCCTGGTGTCCAGACATCCGGCCAATCAGATCTCGATTCACGTGTCGAGGGAGCCAATGGCTCAGATGAACACAGATCTCTCAGAGCCATCAGCACTTACCCGTATCATTCCCCCTTAGCTCATCACCCTTTCTCCTTTCATCACAGTTCTCACTTCCCCGCTTTCAACCACGTCTTACCATTTCCTTTGATAGCCGAGCCGCCCATGGTGTTATCAAGTATAGGCCAGGCGGATGTCCAGCGTCAAGCGTGGCACTACGCAACTCCCCATCAGTATCTGAAGCACCCGTCTCCACATTCAAACTACGAGTCACTCCAAGGTTCCCAAACCTCCCACCATTCAACGCAACCCAATCCAAGCTCTCATGCCCAGAATTCAGCTGCTCCTACATCTGCCCTCCCTTCTCATTTAGGCTCTCACAGCTCCATAACTGCCCTTCCATATCACCTAAGCTCACAAGCTCAGAGCTCAATATCTGCTCTTCCACACCACCTAAGCTCACAAGCTCAGAGCTCAGTCTCTTCCATATCAGAACTCTCCCAAGAAGCCTATAGGCCTCTTATGATTTCCTCATTAAGCAATCCATATTTTACCCCAACATCATTACCATACACCCCTAGCCAATCTGCTCTAAGTAATCCACCTCATATGTGGGTCCCAGGTTCAGATCTTAACCCAAATGGTTATACGGGAATGTGACAGAGATATAATTTCTAATGGTAGATTATTTTTTGAAAAACTTAGTTCCATGGAACTAAATCTTGTACATAATATTTGTAAATATTCCATGCCAAAGACAGTATTTTGATACTTAAAATTTATGATGCTCTTGTATTTACATTTTAAAAATATTTTAAAAATAGATTCAATACAGAAACATTTTGACTTTGTTTTCCTTAAAGTTGTATTTTAAATTGTAGTAATGAAGCCTAAAACAAAAAAAACTATTAATTGATTGTGCATCCTTTGATGGTTGCAACAATACAACAAACATTTTCACAGTCAGTCTTTTGAAAATTACTAACTTTAAAAAAAAAAAAATTGAATCATAAAAATGGGTGGCCCTTTCAAACTTAATTTTCCTCTAACCACGGCTTTCCAATCTTTTCTACACTCGGTAGCCCTAACTATTGTTTGTCAAAGTCTCAAAATCCATCCAAAGCAATGATGATTTTTAAATGGGACAAAAAAAAATGGACTTCTAAAATTAAGTTTAAGTTAGAAAGAGAGCTGTGCACTGATGAAATTTAAAATATATAAAAGTTTTGGTCAAAACTTCAAAGTCAATGGCTCCTATGCTCTGACAATCAGTTTTCCTCTTCACACCTAAAATGCCCCCTCAGACCCCTCGGGTAGCCCAACGTGAATGAGGGTTAATTTCAGCACATATGAGACAGCCAGCCTGAATATATTTGACTGAAATCACATTTTAAATGCTGTTATACTAATACAGGAACATGCAGCATTTAAAAATAGTTAACTTTTTTCAAATTTATATGACTTTTATGGGCCTGTGTTTCATTTTCAACCTTGAAGAGACTTCGGCCAATTCACAAACAACTAAATAATGGCTTAATTTAAAAAAAAAAAATGTGTGCAATAATTGAATGACAAAATAAAACTTTTTCTCCTTTAATACAAGATATTAATATTTGTACTTATGCTACTGACCCAACATCCAGGTAAAAGTTAAAAAGCAAACCCATAAAAAAAAATGAAATAAATTCCACAGAAAATAACTGATATTATAATTTTAAAGATGATCCAATAGCGTCCAGCACATCTGTTAGCACTCTGTCACGATTTTCATGAGTCACCTAAAATAAGATAAATGGTGAATATCTTAATTATTATTACATAAGAAAAATATCTTTAAGTGTTTGGAATAATCATAATTATTCTCACTTTTTGTGTGTGGTTATCTAGCAGTGGATGTATGTAAGATTCTTTATTGATCCAAATGAAAGGAGATGTTTTATATTTTTTATTACATTGTATATATTGCTTTTCAGCACATAAATAAATACATAATTTAAACAAGACAAAATTGTACAAAAAAGGTACACAGTTTGAACACAAAACATCTCAAGCATATAATACTGGCATAAAGTGGTTATTTACAAGTTTTCCAGTTTACAATCATTTATTCTTAAAACTTTATGTTGCATAGTGGGTGACAAATACCCAACAAGAAAAATCATATGACATACATAAAGCATGATACATAATGAGATATGAGTTTACAAGATAGTGGCTGTTCACCTCAAATACTTTAGAAAAAGGCCCATTTCTAAGTTCTTCGACGAGTTGTATTGGCTTTCCTTTAGGCACTGGTATTGTTGCCACCAGCAAAACACTGGCATGAGACATTAACTTCTTGATGGCCTGTTCAAGGGAAAATCCCAAAACTGAATAAATATTTACATAAAAGAATAAATTAAATAGTTCCATGGATCAATATCAATATTCTTAGTTGCTTTGTTTATTGAAAAAAGGTGTCCTTATTTTTTTTATTTGTGACCATCCATATAAATATAATAAAGGTAATCACAAATTTTATCTCCTTTACCCATCCTATTCCTTTATTATTTGGATACCATCCCTAAGCAAATTAGACCCAACCAAACCAAAGTTAAGTGTGAATTAAAGTTGATAGTAGCATGTTATTATCAATAAGCAATAACAATTTCTTAAAAGAGTGAGTCAATAATCTTCTAATTCTGAATCACTATTTTAAGTTGATGTTTTTATATATATATATATATATATTATTACTATTATTATTATTAAAACTAACAACTTCATGACCTGTATAAATGCTTGACTGAAAAGTTCCATCTTGCCAACTTCATCTACAAGAAATATCAATCTTCTACCATCACACTGTTCTTTAGCCTTTGAAAGAAGTATCCATAAGATCTATTATGACTTAGAAAAAAATTTCAATAAAACTAGTGTTTTATGGTTCATTTATAGTAATTAGTATACATCACTTCGCATAATTAACAATGGCCATTTTACAAATGTGGCATTAATATATTTACAAAAATCTTATTAAATAAATTAATTAAAATAATAAAATCATAACAGCAACTAAATGTTACAAGCACAATCACAAAGATAAAAATTATTAAAGGTTCCATACCGGTGTAAGTTGAAGTGTTGGTAGAGCTGTTAGCTCAAAGGATTGCATGTTAACTGAATACTGGCCAACTTTATATGCTCTCTGCCTGTTACCTGGGAGGTCATCTGCAGGATTACTGAAGATAGTAATTTAGTTTAAGGGACATACAATTTTGAGTTTTTTTCCAGAGATGTATTTATAAAAAAATTAAGTGCGTTTTTTTAAAAGATAAAAAATAAATTATTAATGAGTTAAATATAAAATATTTAAGGGCATTGGCATTATACAATTAAATTGAAAAAAAAAGTACTTCTGAAAAATATTGACAAATATTAGTAAAATTATATTTTTGGAAAATATATTCATTATAAATATCTACCTGACTCTTGCTAACTGCCCACGCTCATTATTTGTTGTGATAACATCAAAACCTATCCGGCGACCACTGACACGAACCTCTTCTGTCATAAACCCTTTACATTGTATTTCTTTCTTTGACAATTCTTGATGAATTTTTTTTATTATGGTTGTTTTACCTACACCTGTGCATTGGATATGAAGTCAACTAACTTTGTAAGATGTTTATTTTTAAATATGTGAAAACATTAAAGTTAGTGATACCATAATACAAAATTATGAAGATTAAAAATAATTTATTTTTATCCTTCAAATTTTAAGTAATATTTGAAAATATTGAAATAAAAGGTTAAAATATATTTATTCTATGTTTTTGAGTGAATAAGAAATAAATTATTTTCATTAATTAAATGAACATATATCAAATATATGTGTACTTTACTTTTAACAATTCGGCTCTGTTGAAACTATTTACAGAGAGTTAGGTCTTTAATTCAAAGGAGTTGGGGTAGAGTGTTGAAGTGTAGGAGGGAGAGTGTAGAGGTAGGGTAAGGGAGAGATGATGTTGAGGGCTAGGGAGTTTATTTGATAGTCATCCATCCTTGTGGCGCTACAGCCCATGTAGGGCTTTGGCCTGCCTCACTACTTCTTTCCACTTAGACATAATGAATGCTTTTCTTTTCCAAGCTTGGATTCCCAGCTGCTGTAGATCTTTTTCCCACATCATCCATCCATTTAAGACAAAGTCTGCCTTTGAGCCATTTTCCTCTGGGGTTTTGATGATTTACTCTCTTCACTCCTCTGTCATTTGGCATTCTTTTGTTGTGATAACCAGTGCCCATTGGTTGTGGGTCTTGGGTCTCCCTCAGAAAGTATCCTGTTATTGTTCCTCCGGGGTCAATAAGTAGGGCCTATGCTTCTTATAACTCTCTCTAATGTTAGTTTAAATAGCATTTAAGACATTTGATAGTCAGGGGCAGTAAATAGGATAAAGTGCAAAGAACTTTGAGGGAAACAGCAGTTGGGTTTTTTTTGGGGGGGGGGGGGGGAATACTAAAGTGATTTTGAGAGGGCACGGAATAAATTAAGTGGGGAAACGGTTATGTTACAAACCAACTTGTTCAACACAAATTTATACAATGGAAAGTTGTTTGCACAGAAGATGGTTTGCATGAATGTTTGTTTGAAATAAAGTTTGTTCAGCAGAGATTTAAAAAAAGAGTTTTTATATGTAAGGTGTGAACTGTGAGTGAGAATTGTGGCCATTTTTTAAAAACTTTAAAAAAGATACTTTCTATTAAAGATGAGATAAAAAAAAGTAAAATATAATTTACAATTTCTTAAAATGCATTACACAAAGAAATTCTGTGCAGAAAAATAAAATATTTTCAAAAATTAATCAAAATAAAAAATATTTAAGTTTTGTCTACGTTCATTTTGAATCAATTTGCTACATAACTTCATCCACAGTTAAAATAAATTTAAAATCTTTTTAAGTATTCAATATTTAAAAAAAAAACAATTGCAATATCAATATTGAAATTAAAAAACACAACCAACCATTTAAATTTTCAATACTAATACTAGACTTAGACTAATACAAATAAAATCAAACATTTAAACTAAAGCAATTTCAATTTAATTAAATATTATTTTATATAATATAATTAATATAAAATAATTTAATAAGTAAATTATCTATTAAAGTTATAGTAAATTTTAAATACTAGAAAATAATAAGTAATAGTAGAGATACTAATTACTAATAGTAATTTAATAACAATATATATTAGTCATTAGTATTAGTAAAAGTAAAAATACCAACCAGGTATTCCTGTGATGAGAATATGTCTTACTGATAATTTAGAAGATGCCATAAGTTAAAAAAAATTTTGTTAAGCTGAAAATTAAATTCAAAACATTTCGGTCTGAAGAGAGTAATATGTATGTGATGTTATTTATTTTTGTTAAGGCATTGTTCTATATTCTACTCTAAGCAATGAAGGTAATTTTATTTCTCAAACTTATCCCATGCTACATTTAAAAACGAAGTGGATGCGTACACCGCGGCGGTGTACCTAGCGAAACCATCGGCTTTGGCCTGCGTAAACCGCGGCGGTGTACCTAGTGAAATCGTGGGCTTTGGCCTGGGTACACCGCGGCAAAAATTTACCATTGGCCTGGTTTTAAGATATACTTGTTGGAGAGGATCTTGTGTGGTCAAGTGGTAGAGTGGACGCTTGGTGATAATATAGTTTGAGATCAATTCTCAGTAGGGGATCGAGTTTTTTTCCTCCCATTTTAGTTTTAAAATATTTTGTAGCAATTGAAACAATTTAAATATATGTTTAAATATTATATTAAATACACTTTATATATTTATTTATATATATAAGTGTTTCAACAAGTTGTGCCGGCCTTTGACTTTGAAAATACCGGTAACTTTAGTAATAAGACTTTAGACATTTGAAAACAAACTTAAAGTTTCTGAAAGCGCATGTAATACATGATGATCATGTATAACAGAAACATTATGAATACTAAGTGACTGATATTCTATTGTATTTCAACATTCTTCGTATAGTTGAATATTTACATTTTACTTTTACGAACAACCAAAGAAAATACCAGTATGAATAATATTCATGCATATGAATATTAATGTGCATGGTCGTATTTCAACCTTGAACCATCTTGCTTTCACTATGCCTTATGCATTGGCAAAATGTACATACGATATCAAAGGTTCATTCACAACACTCAGTCTCACAGCAAATCTTTTGAAAACACCTCGATTTTAGAAACTTGCGGAGCGGTAGCAAACTGTATAGCAAAGCCATAGGTCTGCGTTTACCCTTTTCATGACGTAATTTGTTTCCAGAATGGCATGGCATGTGCTATTCTCAGGGTAAAACACGACGTTTTCTCACAGAAACCATTGCACAATGGGCCTGGGACAGGATTTGCACTATGTCAAAGTTTTTGTATTTGTTGTTGTTTTTTTTTTTTTAAGAAATCGATCCTTGCCGGGGAGTGGGGGGTGGTGGTGAGTTATGGGCAGAGGCTTAACCAAAAAGAGGGCATTCACAAATCATGGCTCAGGATAGGGGTTGTCCACAAAGGACGTCCGCACATCCAACTTACCTTTTGCATCCCCCCTCCCTCTGCCTGCATTTTTTTTTACTAATGTGTAATGCCAATGTAAAACTAAATCAATGATTTTTAATTATTGTTAAAAGACTTTCAAATCACTGCAGTGTTTCGTATTGATCATCTTACTGCTGTTTTGTGTTGACACATGCTTGGTGTCACAATGACAATGCCTCGGACTACTTTAACTTCACGACTTCATGATCAATGTATGAGTATGTGATTCTCTTCCCGTATTGTATTTGTGGCGTAATTATATCATGGTGCTAACAAAATAGATACACTGTCTTCCCATTCATTTTTACACGATGCCCCGAGGGATCACATACAATGTTATATTTATAAGGCGCCACCCCAAAAAAAACAAAACAAAAAAAAACAAACCCAAAACAAAACAACTAACAACTGGGTGGGGGGGGTGGGCATGAGAGAATAATTTCAAATTAAGATTCACAATCATATGATAAAACTTACAATTAATAAATATATTTGTATTTCAAGATATTGGGGGAGGGGGGAATAAAGTGGTTAACTTTAAAAATAAATCAATTTCAAATTAAGATTCACAATCATATGATAAAACTTACAATTAATAAATATATTTGTATTTCAAGATATTGGGGGAGGGGGGAATAAAGTGGTTAACTTTAAAAATAAATCATGGTTTAACATTACCCCCCCCCCCGAAGCCCCTTCCCTTCCAAAAATAATAAGAAATGCTTTACATGCACTTTGCCACATACGCGTGGACCTTACTCAATATCTTCCCAAGGTAATAAACGAATTTTTAATAGTTTTCAGTTTTAACACGAGTATAACATTAAATCTACAAGTACCGGTTAGGCCAAAAAGTTAAAGACTCGCAAAGACCATAGTTTGGCTACTGTAAATCGCTGCGGTGTACGCAGGCCACAGACCATGATTTAGCTAGGTACACCGCCGCGGTGTACGCAGGCCAAGTCAATAGTTTCGCTAGGTACACCGCCGCGGTGTACGTAGTGCCGGCCATTTAAAAATTAACATGCAGGGGAAAGCACTCACACAATTTACTAATCAAAACAAAATAATAAAGGGTCCTTCCGATCCGATCATTTAAGCAGCTAATAAACATCTCGTTTAAACACTCAAAAGTCATACGTTACCATTCAGTTTTCAAGAATATTTGGACCACGTACTTTTTATAATTAAATTAGGCTATATGATCGAATATTTCTTTGATAGTTCCTACAAATAATATATATTCAAGCAAATTCAGCTAGCAGCTGGACTTTGTAGTGGCTGCTGTGCCTTTTGACTTTGATTTGGTACCCATGAGCTGAAAGAAATAGCGAATTTAAAATTAATAATTAAATGCCAAATGCTGTTGTGCAGTTGTTGCAAGCCAAACAACGAGGAGGTATGCAAAGATATCACTGATTTTAAAGAAATATACCTGCATTGTTGGCTAAACTCTCTGCCTGAACTTAAGTTAAGGATGAAGTGTCCCCTGAAGTGCCAAAGCCAAAACGCAATGATTTTGTTTCAAGTCCAAAGGCTGAGGAATCATAAACCTTACTTGCACAATGATGATGGAGATGTTTTCCCCCAATCCTTAAAGTTGCGCATTCTATAGCTGAGCTATTATAAGTCAAATTCATGGAAAGATCAAAGAAGAATTTCTAAAATAATATTTAGTCCTAGAGATTTACTTAAACCTTACTACTTACTATAGCCCAAGGCTTTATTGAAATTAACAATGGCTTTAATTATATATTATAAGTTATAAGCCTAGTAGTATTGATATTACATACATTGCAGATGACCAATACAAATGTTCTACTAACAATTTTCAAAGTCAAGATTGTTATATCATAGCCATTGCATAAATAAAATAAATATATATAAAAGACTTTACAAAAGCCCAATGTATTTATTATAATATAGTGCTGATCTAAAGATAAAGATGCATTATCATTACGTTATATGATGAAATTTAACATGAACTCTGAAGAATCATGAAATAGAACAATGAAATCAATCTTCTTTGAAATTGAGTTTGATGCAAAGCCTTTCAGAACAGTGCAGTTTAAATGCCTAGTACTCAAATTATATTTCAAGCATTTCAAGACCTACCCAACAAATGTCTGATGATCATTAATTCTCTGGAATCAGAAGTCCTATATTATTAATAGGCACTCATAAAAGCTAACTGGAACTCAATATTTTGAAAATTCTGCAGTCTTGCTTTCCTGCAAATTCATTTGGAAGATTCATTTTAAACCATGCCCAAATATGTAATTTCAGCCGTTATTTAAAAAAAATTGTTCCCTCTCTTTTATTTTCTGAATTAGAGAGTTCTTGTTTTCTTCTGTTTTTGTGTACATTATTTCAAAAAATTTGTAAGATGTAACTGTTATAAAATATAGTGTCAAGATTAATACATTTTTGGATTAAGATTGTATTTTAAAAAGTCAGTGCAAAATTTAAGCCGGTGATTGAATATAATGCATATAATTTTATATTTGAATGAAAATGTGATTTCCTTTTACAGTAACTTGTATAGAAGGAATGAAGAAAAGAATATGAGCTCAGAAACTATAAAATGTATTTGATGCCTATCAAAGGAATGATTCTGCATTTATCCTCCCTAACCCTTTTCTCCATTTTTTCAAAAGTCCTGATTTCTTTATATTCATTCCTAATTATTCTCTAGATCCAAGACAAAGGACACAGCAGTGGTAGCTCCCAAGGCAGTTTTCATAGGACAGAAAGTTACAGCCGTGTCATGGGGAATTCTAATCTCAAACAGCACATTGAAACAGCCCAAAAGACAGGTGTATGTCAACTTCGGCACCTAAATTTAAAAGAGGTACATTATTTGGTTTTATCTCTCAGCCCAAACTTTGTTTTTTAAAGGTTTTTAAATTTTTGTGACTGCATGCTACTGGCATCAACATCAAAGTTTTTTCAATCTATTTTCTGTTGCAAGCTCTGCTCCATCTCTTTCCATGTTTATGAGAATAGGAGCATTGGTTTGTCATAAAGTTCTTTAAAAATATTTTTATGGCAGCTGATCCTTCCATTTGTTATTTTTAGATATATTTAGACACATATTCTACAAACATCCACTAAGAATTGAACTAAAAATGATTTAAACAAATATTAAATTTTATATGTTGTGAAATCATTAGTATCCCTTTATGTAAGAGTAAATATCTGGGAAGCATCATCGTTTACAATGTTGAGACATTATTAGACGAGCGACTCTATGCAGTAAGTGCAAACTATAACTATAAGACCTTTCTGAGTAGTGTTTGTTTATTTACATTTACAGGTTCCAGAAGAGCTCCAAAAGCTATCCAAGAATTTACGCACAGTTGATCTTTCTGACAATAAAATTCTGCAACTACCACCATGGTTTGTGACACTTGCAAGTCTGAAAAATTTTACTCTAAACAATACAAAAATAGGCAAGTTTTATACTGTAAGGCAAAATTTAAAAGAATTATAATAAATTCCGAACAAATGTTTTTGATTGCTATTTCGTGACAAAAGCTGGAGCAAAATAATATGTGGACTGTTTCTTGTCTTATCACAAGTTATAGTAATTTTTATCACTGTATTTTGTTGTTTTAAAAACTTAAAATGTCACATCAGTTAATTTAAATGGATGTCCCAATGTACTAAGGGGCCATCCATATATTATAAATGCACTTGGGTGTTGTTGATTTTGGAGATTTTTTTTATGCATGCTTATGGCGAGATGGAGGGTCTCAGCAGAAAGTGTGTAAATTTATTAACAAAATTCTGCAATAATATATTTTCAAATTATGACAGTCCATAAATAGCATATTTATATCTCTAATGCTGTAAAAATATCACTCATGTTTTGTAGGCGTTATCACCATAGTGTTGCCTTATGTTTCCACATAAGAACTCGCTTAGATATCGCTCTAATATAACTCTGCACTAGTAGTATTACAGTAATAGATAGTCCACCGCATGCTCAACATATGAGTGAAGCATTTTACTTGGCCTTGCCAGCGGTTCCTAAAATCTTTCAATTCCTAGTGCCCTTGTCAAATTTAAGCTTGCAACAGGCGCGTTCAATTTTAACATGTGCACTTCAAAATAGTGAATGCATTTTTAAAAAAAATATATTGTGTGGGGTGAACATACTTAAAACATTTATGCAGGTCACTAAGCCTAAGCTAGTACCTTCAAACAGTAATAATTCAAGTGATTTACTCTTTTCACCAAGCCCGCTAGCTGTCACAAGGGATTTAAAGGGGACATTAAATTATGAAAATTGTGTAAGGATGCTTTGACAACCCAGGGCTGTGCCAAGTGAAAGTTGTGCCCTGGCAGACCAGTATAAAGTCTATTTTTGGCACCTCTTGTCTTTGTGAAGTTAATGGGATTTCATAGTTAAATTCACTATTAAGGTCCAGATAAAGATGATGATTTTGGTGCCGTTGTCATGGCCCTGCCAAAGGGCAATGTGGCTCACAGGGTGACACAGCGCATATTTTGGGAATCACTGGGCTCTCCAAACAGTCAATGGTGAAAACATGTAACACATAATTGTCTATAAATAAAATGATTTGGTTGGTGTTTTGTATTTGTTGTTGTAAAGTAAGTTTGCAAAGGAGGGGGGGGGGGTGGTGGTTCGGGGGTGTCCCCCGAAATTTGCATTTTTTGCTATATGGATGACCTCTAGATAATTCTTGATTTGTTGGGGACAAGTAAAATGGTATATTTTTATTTACTTTTAAGTGTAAAGATTTAAAAATACAAAAATTTTAAACTTCTGTTTACATTTTTGGCTTAAGTTTGTCAAATTTGACATCATTGTTTAAGCCTCCAAATGTCATTCAAATTTTTCAGCTGAATTACCTGAGGATTTTGGCAAGTTGAAGAAGTTAGAAGTGATTAGCTTAAGTGGCAACTCCCTGACACACCTACCTCGATCCTTTTCAAATCTGACCAACCTCAAGACATTGACCTTGTCTGGAAATCATTTTAAAACATTTCCCCCTGAGCTACTAGTGCTACCCCAGCTAGATGTTGTTGATCTCTCACAAAACTCCATCACAGAATTGCCATTTGAGATGTCAGGCTTGCAAGCCGTGGAACTTAATTTGAATCAGAATCAGGTCAATGTCTCTAATATTGAAAACTATTAATATAAGCTGAACCCTTTTTTTTTTTTACATTTGCTTCTAATTATATACTATAGTAAACTAAATGTGTTAATCAGTATTGTAAAATTCTATTTAATCTGGTATAAGACTGGTAAAATTTCAGTTCCCACATAAAAATTTCTAGTAAAGTTTTAAGTGATTTAGTCTCAGATAAAATATTTAAGAAAAGCCATGGTTAATTATATCAAATAACTGTTTCAGGCGCATGACACAATTCGCAATCTATTGAAAAGATTTTTTAAAGTAATTCGTAATTTACCTGATTTTGGGTTAATATTTATGTATTCAGCTGGAAATAATATCTTCTTTAAATCATTATTGGTTTATATATTCAGATGGAAATTATGAACTAATTCTAGAAATATTCCATTTTCACAAATATTGTAGGTGTCCCGAATGCCTGAATCTATTGCAAGATGTCCAAGGCTGAAAGTTTTGAGGATGGAAGAGAACTGTTTAGAAATTTCTGCATTCACTCCCGACATTATGAAAACTTCAAAAATCAGTCTTTTCGCTGTGGAGGGCAATATGTTTGACATGAAAATGTTTCACCAACTTGATGGTTATGATGAAGTAACTATTATCTTTTATTTTTTATCTCATGTGTTGGCTCTGACTAAAGTCAAAATATTATTAATTTCAGAAATAAATCCTTAGATGTATGATAGTTTATAAAATGCTTTTATATTATTTTGAAATCTTTGTCCACAATATATTTTTGTCAACTATTGTGCACTGATTAGGAGAAATTTAAACTAAATGTTCTTTCTTAACTGATGAGGAAAAAATATTAAAGTAAAATTATGTGAACAAATTATCCTGACACTGTTTTTATTTGTAATTGTTTAAATTTCTCAATTTTTCTTTCAGTATATGGAAAGATTTACTGCGACCAAGAAGAAAATTAACTAATTAAATTCATCATTATTTATGACAATTGATGGAAGGCTTCCAAAGCTGTCGTATGTTTTAATTAACTGATGGGCTATAACGGCAGACCATTTTTTCATGAACTCTTGTTGACATTGCTTCTATGGCCTTTTAACAAGTGATGGATAACCTCTCGATGTCACTGAGGGAGCTGGACTTACAATTTGTTTATTCAAACATTGCAAAAATAGATTTGTTTATTATACTCTAGACTCGTCTGTTACCCAGCATGTGTGAATGAGAAAAAGTTTACCAGGTTGTCATGGTATTTTAGCATTTTGGACACTGTCCAGTAGAGATGCATTCAGCCTGTATGATGTTAGGCACTGGAGTCTACCGTCTGTAACGTTTTAAAAAATATGCACACATATTGGCACTGCTTTCTTTCATTGCTCTTAAATTTGTCCTTTACTTGCAGCTTATCTTTTCTTGTAAATCAATTTATTTTGTTCTATCCTCTATTGTAATTCTGTTGTCACTTCATAATATTACAGAATCAGTATTTTTGGCTTTTCTTGTATTCATTTGTATATTTTCTCTGTTCATAGAAAAAACTTCTAGACTTAATCAAAATAATCTATTTAAATTTAACTTACTCATCTTTCTAGAATAATAATTTAAAAAAAAAAAAAAAAAAAAAAAAAAAAAAAAAAAAAAAAAAAAAAAAAAAAAAAAAATAAAAAAAAAAAAAAAAAAAAAAAAAAAAAAAAAGGAATCCAAATAACTTAAAATAAACACACTGTTAATTGCAATTTAACTCTAGGAACAGTTTTCATGTATTTGTTTAGGTTGATTTTGTCTTGAAACATTGTTTTGCACATCTCTCATTCATTTATTGTTGTGAGCATACTGTACTGTAAATATTAAGCACTGTTACAGCCATGTTTTTACATATTTCAGTCAATTTTAAACCAGTATTTTCAATGTTTGTGTTGTAATATTTTCCTACAAATCTCATGGTTAAAACTTCTTTAAATGCTTCATCTGATACTTATCTTTGCTTCGAATTGGAAAAAAAGTGGAAAAAATCCTACCAAAATGATAATAGCATACAACTTTCCTATTGAGAAACAATAATGCCATTTGCCAATTCATTGAAAATTCTGAGCTCTGTTATAATGGTAAATATGATGGAAGTAAGTATTTATTCTTAAAAAAACCTCAAAATACTTACAATCTATAAGCGGATTCCTTGGATGTTTTGACAAAAACCAAGGTGCATCATGTTCTTTTTTTTATATCCTGAAATATTTCAACAAATCTTTATCTGTTTATATGTAATAGTTCACAGATGTAAATATGACATGATTGACAGTGACAGAGTTTTTTTTTTTAAACTTTAAGTAACCTTAAAAACATCTAAGTGATCTGCCTTATTTCAAGGTTTATTGCAAAGCTCTTCTTTGTAGCTTAAATAAAATTTTGTTAAAGCCTGGTAGCTAATCTACCTCCTACCAGATCCATGTGGAATAACTAAACAGCACAGGGCTTGCTCTGAGTTTCATCTGCATTCTCATTGAACATCTTTCATTATTAAATAAATCCATGTGGAATAACTAAACAGCACAGGGCTTGCTCTGAGTTTCATCTGCATTCTCATTGAACATCTTTCATTATTAAATAATAATAATCTATGAATACTTCATAGAGAAAATTATTAAGCATTTTGTGAAAACAATTTAAAAAAAATTAAATAATAAGCAACTGGTTTTTTTTTGTAACTTTTACATTACTTTTCTATTTTAAAAACTCTATTTAAAATTTATTTATTGGCTGCTTAGGCAAGATTTTATAAACATTGTTTAAGTAAGGAAACTCCTGGATTTTTTAAAAATGAATAGAAATTTTTTTAAATGAGAAAGTCACTCGTAATACATTTCCTTGTTCAGTTTTCTAAAAGTTCCAGGCGCCTGAAAGTGTACATTTTGAACTAGATTTATTTTCGACCAGGTAAAGCACAGACCAGTGATCATCAGTCAAAATTAAAAGATTACAATCCCCACAATTTAAAGTTGATAACTGAATTTCAAGTCTCTAGAATTGGTTTAAAAAACGTCTCAGTGTGGACCATCTTAACTGGGGGTTGGCAACCTGTTTGGAGTGAGGAACCATTTTTTAAAATTTATATCTGCAAAGAAAATATTTTAGGAACTGCATGTCATTATTGATAAGTAAAAACAAGAGCTGCAAGTGGCTCCAGGCAAGCGCTTGTCATCCATTGACCTAGACAGACATAATTAAAATCTGGTAAAAAAAATAATCTAATTCTACACCATTTTGGTGATACGTAAATTTCTTGAACATTTTATTGGATATTTGATATTTACAATCTTCATAATTAATTTTGATTCCTCTTAAATAAGGTTTTATTTGTCATTTATATGGTTTTTATCTTCATTTATATGGTTTACATAAATCAAAAACAATTTGTAAAAATAAACTGTCTTGGATCAACATCATACTGGATTGATCAAATTTATTTTAAATTTGGTTTCAAAGTTTGTGAATAAATAACATGGATTCAAAATAGAAAATTTCATTTCTTATGATATGAAACAGCAGAGATATAAAAAAATCTTAGACAAGAAACCTTTCACTCAGTTATATAATTGATAACATATTCCACTTAAATTTACAAATTAAAAAAAACAAAATTAGCCAACATTTTTCAAATACAAATTTCAACACTGTATGGCAGTGCTGTCCGATTTATTATTTCAAAACTAATAACTGGACTAGAAGTTTTGCACACTTAAATATACATGCACATACAATAAAAATTTAAACATTCAGTCAATGAAAATGTATTCATATTACTTACTTATAGGAGTGGGAGATAATTTCTAATTTATGGAGCAGGTGAAAATAAGTTGTTTTTTTTTAAATTAAAAATTCCATTTTGAATGAAAGCAGAGATTTTTTTTAAATTATGCAGAAATCACATTGTATTGAATATGAAAAAGATTTTTGATTACATGATTAAAACCCATATCAAGAAATAAATAAAATCAAGTGTGGCAAAAATAATGACTTCACAATATTTAAATACTATCATAGACAGTCATTCTAACACATTTACATCAGCTTTCAAAGTGAAGCAACTGTTTTTAATTTCACCAGAGCATTGGTATATCACAAAGAGTTTGTCTCAGTTCAAAATTAAACCCATATGCTTTATACTTTCTCTTCAAACGTTTTTGCAGTCTCCCAAAAGATTTCATACACCCTCTGATAAAAACTTCAACAAAAAATATTTGTGACTTTTAAAGAGATCTAATTATATAATTACAAAAGGAGTTGTATTGTCAGTCAGTATCTGAATTCAGCCGTGGTTTTTCTTCTCATATCATCAGATATGACAATGCAATACATGTCAGGGCACGTTAGCCTGGCAAAGTGGATTAGATTAGTGTGATTGGCTATACTAGAATATCCAACATGTGAAATAGTTGAGCGGGTGACTGAGCTTATCAATTAGGAGATATAGGGAAGATTTGGTGGGCTGTATAAACCTTTGCAAGTCATATTTTGCTCTTTAAAAAATATATTATAGCATGTATGGTACACCTGAAATTAAATTATGAAAGAGAAATATAATGCAAAAATTAACAAATTTTATTAAATACATTTAATTCTCATTGCTTTTACAGGTAATTTCTAGTAAAAAGTAAATTTCATTGGTAGCTATTAGAAAATTCCAGTAAATGTTATAAATAATAAATATGTCAATAATTTTTAAAATAAATTTAACTATTTAAAAAGAAATGTATACTAAACAAATCAAATTTATTTGAAAATCTTACAAATCATAAATATCTGCCTTGTCCTAGGAAACCTTCTCAAACAAATTCATTCTCAACTTGAAAAAAAAATGTCAAAAATAAATTGCATATAATATTGTATTGAATCTTATATATATATATTATATATATATGCTGAGAATCTCTAATATTAGTTAATGTGAAGTGGCTCAATATTAAACTGTCCCATCATCTCCAAAATAAGTCACCAGACAAAATTGTGGTTGCTTGGTATGCATACATTGCATGATTTAGCAGTAAACCTACAGCTAAGGGAGAAAATTCATGTATAATTGTGAATTGACTTTGACAATAATAGTGTTACTTGTTTCCTTCTCATTACAACAGATACATTTATATATAGTTATATGTTAAAAATAAATATAAATCAAAATTATAAATCGCTGCCAGAAAATTGTTCTCATTACAAAGTTTTGACGGTCATAACCTTGTTATAATTATAAAAATTAGATGGGAGGGTTAAACTGAATTCTATTAAATTAAATATGTCAAACGTCATAACTTAATGGCAAACAAACATAAGCTTTTACTATTGGTCTTGTGGACCAAGATTGTGAGGCCAGTCATGATAATACACAAAACTGTGAGGTTCTTCATGCTACATTAGGAGGATATGATGTAAGACATAGAACATAAATAAAATACTTAAATAGTTTCATTGGCATGAAGTTAACATTTAAGAGTATTTGGCAAACAAGAAATGAATATTTAGAAAGGATGACAAATATGCGAATTATGAACACAGCTATAACACAATTAAAACATGTATAGGGACAGTGTGTTTCTTTTATCCCCAAGTTGTCTCTTATAATGTTTTAATTAATTAACACATATTGCCTGTAGCAACATATAACATGGACATTCTTGAGGCCATGAGAAAAAAAGCCTGTATATTTTAAGAGTGTACTTGACATCTCATAGAACTTGGTTCTTCCACTATATTACCTCAATTCGTAAAAATATTCTGCAGGAACACCCTGTATTACTATTACAGGAAATGTCTGAACTGATTGCTATATGCTGATCTACCATCTCGTGTGATGCCCTATTTCGGTATAAATAATCACTTCCTGTCTGCATCTTAGGGGGCCATCCATAAATGATGTAACACATTGGGAGGGGGGGCGACACACATTTGTGACAATGTGTAATAAAAATCTTTACATTTTTTCGACGAGTTTGGGGGTGGTGGTGGTCGGTGGGGGGGATTGGTCAGAATCGGGTGACGTCATTAAATTATCGATGGCCCCTTAATCCAACTTTTAAAATATTATAAATTTACAAAAAAGTTAAGGATGAATTCATAATTTTATAATAAATGGGAATAAAAAGAAAATGAACATTTTTTGTAGACTTTTCCAAAATCCAAAAAATGCATTTGAATAAATATTAAAATTTTAAAAAAATATTAAATCACAAGAAAATAATTCTGACAAATGTGTAACACAGATTTGTCAGTGTTGCTTCATCTTTGATCTATTTCCAACAACAATTTTATACAAACATATAAAAACAACACAATTCAAGGAATCAACTAAATATGCCTGATGTACTGCTAAGAATGATCTTGTCATTGTAGAGATAGTGGCTACTATGTACTGCTAAGAATGATCTTGTCATTGTAGAGATAGTGGCCACTATCTACTGCTAAGAATGATCTTGTCATTGTAGAGATAGTGGCCACTATCTACTGCTAAGAATGATCTTGTCATTGTAGAGACGAAGTCACTTTAAAGTCTCATTACTTGATAGCATAAAGTATTAGAGGATCTTAGTTAAATAAATATATGACAACACATAATACCCCATGTAAAACCATGAGTCAGTGCTTAGATATGACAGGTCATCTGACAGTATTGACAGCCCATCTGACAGCATTGACAGCCCATCTGACAGTATTGACAGCCCATCTGACAGTATTGACAGCCCATCTGACAGTATTGACAGTCCATCTGACAGTATTGACAGCCCATCGGACAGTATTGACAACCCTTCTGACAGTATTGACAGCCCATCTGACAGTACTGACAGCCCATCTGACAGTATTGGCAGCCCATCTGACAGTATTGACAGCCCATCTGACAGTACTGGCAGCTTATCTGACAGTAATGACAGCCCATCTGACAGTATTGGCAGCCCATCTGATGGTATTGACAGCCCATCTGACAGTATTGGCAGGCCATCTGACAGTATTGACAGCCCATCTGACAGTATTGGCAGGCCATCTGACAGTATTGCAGTCTATTCAGGCCATTTATGTAAGTGAAAGTTAATGGTATCACATATCATGTCGTTCACTCACTTGTGGAAATTAACTTAAAGGTTTATCTTTAAAAAGGACATAATGGTGAGTTTCGTATGTTTTTGTAAAAAGTCTACCAAAAGCAGTGTTATCGTAAACTATAAACATAAAATAATCCAAATATTGCCATTTAATGAGTTAAAAGTTTAACCAACAACAGTCCAGCTACCGGTAAGTCAATTTGACAGTTTTTATTTCCATATCATTTAATTGTAGTTTCAAATCATTTAGAGGGGTCAACTCTTGGACACCTGTCAGTGTTGTCTCCGCGGCCATCTTGATTTGGACACCACCAAACACATTCAAATTGACCTTTTCCTGATAATGAAAAAAATAATAGTTTAGAATGCATTAGTTAGGAATACTAAAAAATCTATAAGATGCCACTTTAGATATTTAAAATGCAGTAGCTGAGTTTGGTAGTTTAACTCCAACAATCAAAGCTTCAATGGTTTCATACCCAATCTATGTCCATCTTTAGTACTGGGTGGTTTGGAAATAATAATAAATGTTGCCTTTAAGTAGTTCCTCAACAAAGTTCCCTTACATAAATGTTGCTTTTTGCCTTTCTAACATCATTATTAAAATCATATGCCTCTTGGTTTAAACCATGTAAAGCAATAAATATTGGAAATCTTCACTTTCTTTAGTTAAACTGCAGTCTTATAATTGGGTCTCAAACTGAAACAGCCTTATGGGTCACAATAAAAATAACAATGTCATTCTTAAGTTTGCCCCTTATAATTATTTGCTTCACCTCTTTGAACCCCCCCTAACCTGTGATCCACTTACCTCATTGTTGCAATCGGTGTATATCTGGCTGTAGCTGCAATCCAAGCCAACTCTGTGGACAACCAACAGGGCCTTGAGGCTGGATGTGTTGCCTGTTCCCAAGTTCCTTAAGTTCAACAGCTTACAGGAACATGGCCATGTCTCATTCTGGAACCTCACTTGAGTTTCAAAGATCCCATTGGTGTGTGTCATGACGGCAACTTGGAGTGGGTTGTGGAGGTGTGACGATAGCAGGTGGGCCAGAGTTGATGGGTAGCAGATGGCCCCTTTAGTCTAGAAAATATCAGTCAGGGCACATTTCTGTAGGTTAGTACTTGAATAAAATATATTTAAACCAACATTACAAGTTTTAAAAAAAAAAATGCACTAAAAATGTTAAAATAATTCATTTCTTGATTGCCTGGGGCATATATTTAGAATCACTTCTATACATTTTTTTTTTACATACAGCTACATTTTTCTTTAAAACATGACCTTATCCCCCAAATTCATGGTTGCTAAAAGTGGGGATATCAGCACATTAGCTATGTTGGTACAATATTTTAATTTCGTTTCAAATGGTAAAAAACTGGGTTAGGTTTGGAGGGATGAGGAATGAACATATCGGTCAGTGAATGACGACTTTTTGATATATATATTTAGACAAAAAACTAAAATTTTCTGTAAATTAATGAAACATTTCCTGGATGACATTTACAAGCAAATATGTAACTTAAATATATCTACAGAGAAAGAGAGTTTCTGCTGGACATAATGATTCTCAGTTCAATAATTTCTCCCCTACCTGTCCAGCTGCATCCCTCTTTTCTGGGAGTAGAATAAATCTGCTGGGGTTCACTTTGTTGTCTTGGGCCCCTTCATTGAGGCCCCTCCAATCATCTTGCATTAGACGCCTGTCCAGGATGACTTCCATAAAACCTGAAAGACATTACAAACCAGTGTTAATAAACGATAGATTACAAACGTTACTTCACTCTATATCATAACAAAAGAAAAAACACTAAAAAATACAGCAATTAAAAAAATGAATATTTATGAAAAATTCAGGAGCATCATAGTGATCTAAACAAACAAGAAACCTTTATACCGATATCTCAAATGTAAATTAAAATGATTCACTATTTCATGACAAGAAAATCTTTACCACTCATGTCAAATTTCAAAAAGATGAATCTGACGCAGTTGTTTTTTAAATAAAAAATAATAAAATAAATAACTGGTTTGAATAAATCTTTCCATCAGATTATACTTTAATCCAGCACCATAAATTAATTTCATATGCTAGCAAGAAAACTCCTTATAATAATTTAACTGGTTAACTACCATAAGCGGCGGATAGCGCCAAATTTTCCTTTTATCATGACCATGAGCAGCTGTGTGCATCATATTTGTTTCATATAAAACTACTACCGTAATATAAATGTATATTCTTACTTTTGTTTCCAAATTTAAATTTACTGAATGATAATTAAAAAATCACATAGGACAGTAAGAATGTAAAAAAAAATATATGTTATTTGTATATTACTATTGCTTATAAAAATATGTTAGAAATTAAGAAAATGGAAACTGAATTTGTACATTGACCTGCATGTGGGACAATGTGACCTACATTTAATTCAGCCACATACAGCTTTTTAATGTGGTAGCTAATCAGCTAAGGATAAAAATGTTTTTTAAGTCCATTAACTTCAGTATTCCGCAATTTTCATTCATAAGGTGATTCTTTAAAAAATGTTTTATTTTATATTTTTCTTGGTAAATTTAATATAGATCTATGTTCTTCTCGATGAGGATATTTATTTTATGTGTTATTTAAATTTGTCTACCTGGCCTAAGGGAGGCAACACCATGAGGCTGGGCTGTGAGTAATGACATCCGATTCTTTTTGTCATCTTCCATAAATGCCATGGAAGTTACTGGATGAAAGTTTCCTTGGATTAAAAACTTGGATCGCCATTTCTTTCTGTGCATCTAAAAAAAAAGAGAAAACAATCCCATGAGGTTAAGTAAGTCATTAAATAAAGCTTTTATTTTATTAAGGTCCAATCATTTGACTCCAGAAAAAAACTTAAAATACTATGAATATCTACAAAATCAGAAAGAGGAGAAAATATCTACAAGGGCAACATTTCCTATATAAGAGTCAAAAAAGAAATTTGAAAGCACCAATATTGGTCCTACGTATTCTCTTGATCCACCATCTTTGAACACCTTAACAGAAATATTATGAGGACATTCTAAGTGGTTACGACAACACCAAAATTTTTAATTTTTAATTTCCAGGTTAGAACCAATTACCATATTTGAAAGATTATAAAAAAAATATTCCAGTCTCATTCTCAAAAGAATATTTTACATAAAAACGTAAAAGTTAACACTTGATCTATAAGAAATGAGTTACTATTTTAAGATATTCTCAAGAAAGCCCCATAAAAAAATTAGTGTTATTTTAATGAATGTTATTTATAATTGAAACTTTATTTAATAGTTAATAGAAATGCTATAACAAATTAAGCTGAGGAAGAATAATCGTTTCAGCTGTGAGATAATCCCATTTCAAATGGACTTGATAAACAAAAAGCAATTTAGAATATTTAACTTCACGAGCCCTAACTAGACCATTTAAATTAGTGAAATTGATCTATTTATTTTTTGTACCGGTACCTGATAGCCATTGAGATCGACACACAAAGATGTGTCCCGACTGGACACATCAGTCTCTATTCTCATAACCAGTTCCTTGTTTGCCCATGATGAGTTTGTCAAGTCAACCAAGTTGTCAATATGAACCCCAGCTCCAATTGGACCTGATCATAAATAAAACTAAGGTCACACAGTCTTCAAAGGATAATAAGTTCTACTCTGTGACAATTAATGTATGAAATAGAAATGGTTGTTTATTTTAGTAAGTCATAACAAAAGGCGATGCTACTTCAACAAAATTACAACCGAGTTAGATGAAACCTTGATTCACCTGCTGTGTGGTATAGAGTTGTGGAATGTTGGACACCAGGCAGCTCGGAGGTGACCGAGGACATTATAGGACCTTTGAATACAATAATACTTGGGTACAGGGACTCCAAATCCTGGAATATGGAGGCAAAAGTCATTATTATAATTTAAGAATAATAGCTCATCGGAGATTCACAGAAAAATTAGGGAACAATTCTTTTTGATTTCCTTTTCTACTTTGTTGCATTTATTTTTAATATTGAGAATGCACCATACTTAATTTTTTAATATGATAACTCAAGGAACCATTTTATTCAAGCAAAATTAACTGCTGCATAGCGGTCAAAGAAGATAAGATTACAGAATATATTCTCAATAAATTTTTGTATTGAATTGACACACTTCGCTAATATTCTGTATTGTGCTACTATTTCATGTTGTGCTACTATTGCAAGTTGCGCTACTATTCCATGTTGCTCTACTATTTCATGTTGTGCTACTCACCTCAGCATGTCCATCAGGCATAAAAATGTATGCCCCACTTTTATCTTTAAAAGGATTAATCCATGAGCCTGTGCCATAGGTCATCATCTGAATGGACGCCTTGTGCAGGATGCCATCAGACTTTTGTAATAAATACTACGGGACAAGAATAGGGAAACCTTTGAATGGCATTTTTTAAAAGTTATACATTTAATTTTATTAATTGTAACTCCTCACCAACCCCAAAATCTCTTCACTATCTGTGACATTTTGATTCGTAAAATATAAACATAATTATAAGCTGCACATGTTAACAAATACTGAAAAGATTAAAATAAAGGCAATTTCAAGTGGCCAAGATCTGTACCTGTATGGTGCCAGTACAAGCTGAGAATGTTGCCTTGAGAAGCACACTTTCAATTTCAATAATCTCTTTATTGGAGGAAGCTGCCTTGAAACCTAAGCTGGATATGCACACGGTTTGGTTGGAAAATGGTAAATTCAGAAAGGTTCATCAAGGTGGTTAAAAATAAGTTTGAACTTTTGGATTTCACTTTCATAACAGAGACAATGGTATGTGATCGACAACTTCAAACACAAAGATCCTCAGATAAAAAGTGTGAAAAGTAACTTTGGAGAGTTTAAAGTAAATTGAGTCTCCCTCAATACAATTTTTTTTCATAGGCAGTAAAATTAATTAGCTGCCACTTTCATTAAGTCTCAGCTTACATGTTCATTATGTCTTAACCGAAGTGAAATCATGTGTATATTTCAGTGCAGAAATACTCACGAGAATGCAGCTGGAATGGTATGGTTTCCAAATATAGTGACAGAGGCATAGTGCATCATTGATGTGTCTTCAACAAGTTCATACGTTTCAATTGCAAGGGCTGGAACGTCTGCCATAAACAAAATCTGAAAAAGTTATTTATAGAATTTGGACATAGACAAGCCCTTTGTACAAAAATCACTTTCAAATTTGGTCATAAATACTGCATCAAAAGTATCTGTAACATCAGCAAAAAATTGATAAAAAGAAGCCTTAATTTAGTCATCTAGATACAAGGCTTAGTGCACCATACAAAATGAAGAGAAACACATTTCAATTCATTCAATAATTTTAGGCAGAGTGGTAAGCCATTTTTGTCTTTAATTAACAGGGAATTTGTACATACATCATACACGCCAAGTAACTACATACATCATACACGCCAAGTAACTACATACATCATACACGCCAAGTAACTACATACATCATACACGCCAAGTAACTACATACATCATACACGCCAAGTAACTACATACATCATACACACCAAGTAACTACATACATCATACACGCCAAGTAACTACATACATCATACACGCCAAGTAACTACATACATCATACACGCCAAGTAACGGCGACATCCCCTGACCAAGAACTGGATTAATCTGGCTGGTAATGAGAGACCCAGATTTCGCTTTCACACCAAATATCCCTGTTGTTCTGAATGTTATAGGTGAGCTCCAGGCAGTGGTTTGTGGATTCAGCACCACCACCACCCTTGTAAGAAGAAATAAAAAAAACGTGGAAAGAGATAATTGGGAAAATTTATATATTTACATTTGAAATCAATAATACACAAAAATGGGAACAATTGTTGAGCTGGTGTTAATCCAAATACATATTTTTAAAACAAGAATGTAGTGTCACATTTTTTTAGTTTAAAAAAAATTATTTTTAAATTGTTTCAATAGTTATAATTGATACATTTAAATTCAAAAGTTAATTAAAAAGTTTGGCAGTTGTGTAAATTATAACAAACTATGAAATAATATAATGTAGATATAAAAGGAAATCTATAAATATACGTGAAATTAAAAAAATTAAATGCTTTTTATTTCATTATGGTGTTTTAACTTCAAGTTAAAATGATCAACCTTTTTTTATTTTAATTCCATGACAAAACTTATGATGTTTTATTCCCTCTTCCTTAATGATAATAATGCTTTTTAATTAGTAAATTATTGTTTCACTCACCACCCAAATTTTTAAGCTCTGTATTGTTAACATTTAATAAGTTGCACTTCTTTTCCTCAAAAAAATTTGGAAATTAATACATTTAGCAAGAGCAGGTTAATAGTAATTCAGTATGCCTTCCATTATTATCCCAGTAACACCGGGTCATATATTCTAGTACTAAATAGAGCTGTGTGCAACTTACTAAGTAATCATTCAAATGAAGGGTCTTTAAATATGCAAACATGAAAAAGAGGAATTTTAAAATGAAAAAAATTCATCTGAAGATTGTTTTTAAAATTTTAAATCAATATGCGCAAAGGATTCAAATAATTTTTTTATGGAACAACAAAACTTAAGCCTTACTGCAACTTAAGCCAAAATTGTGTCCTTAATTTAATAAGCCAAGCAATTACATTATAAAACTTTATACCATTTTCCATTCAGATTCAGGGTCCTCAATGATGGTAGGGCAGTGGAAGAGCTCCACTCTTCTGTAAGAAAGATAGTCTTTGGTGGCAGGGTGTGAGCTCTTTCAGCCTTTGGGAGCAGACTATTCAACATAAGCAAGGCAAGCAGTGAATCCACTTTATCGAGAGCCGTTTTCAAACTGAGGGAATATTTAAAGAAATTAAGCTTTGTGCATGAAACTGATCACAGTCATGTACACCTGACAATATTTGAATTAGAACTCACCGAATTCCATAATCAGCCATGACCATTTTCTTACTGGTTCCGGTGATGGCATCGTGGTGTTGAAATAAACCAATGGTTCTACGAACTTCAACAAGAACTTGTTCATTTTGTGAGTAAAATGACTGGTCTGACACTGAGCTAAGGGCGCTAGATAGAGTGAACAAGATTTCAGCCAGTCTAAAAGAGAAAGAAAAAAAGAAATGTATCAATATTAAATTTAACATCTTCTTCTGTCAATATGTCAAATACTCTTTGATGTTCTATTTATTTTCATGGTCAAAGAACTGGTTTTTGAAACAATCAGAGTTACCTCACCTGAGCTTGGAATGCAGAACTCTGTCCATGTGTTTGAGGAGTGGCCTAACTGAGTAGAATCCTGTCCAGTACTGGTCATCCCGATCATTGTATGGCAGGAAGTCCCCTGTGAACGATGGGATGGCTGGCTTGGTAACTTGTCTGTTTACTTCCATGGCATTGAAATAATCTGAGATGGTCCCAAACTTGACCTGAAGAAAGAAATTTGTATACAGAAAGCCCAAGCTGTAAATGGATAAGTTAAACAAAGCATGTTGACCTTTCATCTCTATCAACATTGCTCTTATGGCAGAGTCGCTGCCGCTAACAATTCATGAATAAAACTGTGAAAACGTTAAATAAAAACAAAAATAATTGTATAAACAGAGACAGCAATATGTTTCAGCTTAAGTTCAGTATACTGGTTTTAGTTACGAAAGTATTTGTCACACCTGGTGTTAGTTACATAAGTATTTTTTTTACACCTGGTTTTAGTGACATAAGTATTTGTTACACCTGGTTTTAGTGACATAAGTATTTGTTACACCTGGTTTTAGTGACATAAGTATTTGTTATACCTGGTTTTAGTGACATAAGTATTTGTTACACCTGGTTTTAGTGACATAAGTATTTGTTACACCTGGTTTTAGTGACATAAGTATTTGTTACACCTGGTTTTAGTGACATAAGTATTTGTTACACCTGGTTTTAGTGACATAAGTATTTGTTACACCTGGTTTTTGTGACATAAGTATTTGTTACACCTGGTTTTAGTGACATAAGTATTTGTTATACCTGGTTTTAGTGACATAAGTATTTGTCATACCTGGTTTTAGTGACATAAGTATTTGTTATACCTGGTTTTAGTGACATAAGTATTTGTTACACCTGGTTTTAGTGACATAAGTATTTGTTACACCTGGTTTTAGTGACATAAGTATTTGTCATACCTGGTGTTAGTGACATAAGTATTTGTCATACCTGGTTTTAGTGACATAAGTATTTGTTACACCTGGTTTTAGTGACATAAGTATTTGTTACACCTGGTTTTAGTGACATAAGTATTTGTTATACCTGGTTTTAGTGACATAAGTATTTGTTATACCTGGTTTTAGTGACATAAGTATTTGTTACACCTGGTTTTAGTGACATAAGTATTTGTTACACCTGGTTTTAGTGACATAAGTATTTGTTACACCTGGTTTTAGTGACATAAGTATTTGTTACACCTGGTTTTAGTGACATAAGTATTTGTTACACCTGGTTTTAGTGACATAAGTATTTGTTACACCTGGTTTTAGTGACATAAGTATTTGTTACACCTGGTTTTAGTGACATAAGTATTTGTTACACCTGGTTTTAGTGACATAAGTATTTGTTACACCTGGTTTTAGTGACATAAGTATTTGTTACACCTGGTTTTAGTGACATAAGTATTTGTTACACCTGGTTTTAGTGACATAAGTATTTGTTACACCTGGTTTTAGTGACATAAGTATTTGTTACACCTGGTTTTAGTGACATAAGTATTTGTTACACCTGGTTTTAGTGACATAAGTATTTGTTACACCTGGTTTTAGTGACATAAGTATTTGTTACACCTGGTTTTAGTGACATAAGTATTTGTTACACCTGGTTTTAGTGACATAAGTATTTGTTACACCTGGTTTTAGTGACATAAGTATTTGTTACACCTGGTTTTAGTGACATAAGTATTTGTTACACCTGGTTTTAGTGACATAAGTATTTGTTACACCTGGTTTTAGTGACATAAGTATTTGTTACACCTGGTTTTAGTGACATAAGTATTTGTTACACCTGGTTTTAGTGACATAAGTATTTGTTACACCTGGTTTTAGTGACATAAGTATTTGTTACACCTGGTTTTAGTGACATAAGTATTTGTTACACCTGGTTTTAGTGACATAAGTATTTGTTACACCTGGTTTTAGTGACATAAGTATTTGTTACACCTGGTTTTAGTGACATAAGTATTTGTTATACCTGGTTTTAGTGACATAAGTATTTGTTACACCTGGTTTTAGTGACATAAGTATTTGTTATACCTGGTTTTAGTGACATAAGTATTTGTTATACCTGGTTTTAGTGACATAAGTATTTTTTACCCCTGATTTTTGCTACATAAGCATTTGTAACACCACAGTTCATTTTATTGGGAAATTCATCAGAAATAACCAAATCATTTTCGCTGAGTTAACAGCAGCTCCATTTATCCAAAGTTTTCATTCTTCTAGGGAAAGCGTAACTAACAAAATCAGTTGTGGAAAACACCAGAAATTTAAAGGTGTTATAATTTTTGTTCAAGTCATGTTATAATTATGAAACAATTGACATGCCACTTTGGATGTTCAAGATTAGAAATATCATTATAAGTCTCCTGATTAACTTCTAAAATGTGAATTTTGTACCAGGAGCACAACTTGTTCATTTCCAGGCATGAAATTAAAAAAAAACCTAACAATACTGATTATCATTCCCCCACATGCCTCACGCACTGTCCTCGGTGAACCAAATTAACACCTGTCTAATTAACCTGTGTCTCAGATAGACAGGATCAGAAGATTTGGTTTGAAAATAAAAAAAAATTAAAATGATTGTGGTACACACTTGAACATGCATGTCCTTTTCTTTGTTCATGAACTCCATAAGTTTCCCCAAGTTGTCAAACTGCTGAGACCACTCGCTCTCGCTGCCGTAACGAAAGTCATCCCCGTGGGGCACGAGCAGTGCATCAGTGCGGTACAGTGTTGCCTTTTTCTGAAATTGTTCCCACAGTGCCCATGCTCTGGAGACAATGTTATGGAATAACATAAATTTTCTGTTTGAACAAACTCAAGAAACAGTCTTCGTTTATCTCATGGAAAATTTTTCTTGTCAATTCAAGACGCTAATATTATAAGTAATTTCTTCTTTTTTTATATTACAGTATCTAAAATTCAACTTTTAATGAAAAATGTAATATGCTTGACCAGTCCTTGTTAGCACATTAATGAATTACCCTCATTGCTGATGGGACTCTACATTGAAAGGTTTTGTCATGTGGATAAACACAATACTACTGTTTCCCAACGTTTACTTCTCCTACCCCGTTTGAGGATCTAAAGGGAAAAGGTTTAATGTCGTGCCCCCCCCCCCCCTCCTGACCACCTGCCCAGCCCATCCTTAGTGAAAAAGCTTTAAAAAAAAGGAAAGTCTCCACGCTGCTGTCAGGAAGATTGAATTTTAATTTTGCTGCCCAGTTTAGTCCTCAAGGATAAAATGTTAACTAATCAATGTAAGGACACTAGTCAAGGACACTAGTCAATACAAGGGAAGTATATTAGTATTGCAATAAATGAAGAAATAAAAGTGGATGACTTAAAATGTTTTCCTGTCTTCAAACCCCCCCCCCCCAAATCATGCCACCTTGACACAGACACAATGTTAAAATACTGACAGATATCTTATCTCAGAAACTAAATTTCCTTCTAAAATCCTCAATTTGCTCCTGTAAGGAAACAATGCAATATACCTACAGGCTCCTGTAGGGAAATCCTGCAATATACCTACAGGACAAAGAAAAATACTTGACTGAATTAGCTTACAGTGTTTTTATGTTGGTCTCATCAACAGTAATTTTGGGGACAGTTTGTTTTCCCCTGAAACACTTATCAGAGTGAAAGTCAAACTGGCAACAGACATGAGGGTCGGGGCCACACGAGTATAGAATGGAGTACAACAGGAATGGCATCATGTGACAAAACACACCAGTCTTTCCATCTGAATCTGGACAAGAACAAATTTATATTTTAAAAACATTGAAAATACATTCAATAAAAGTTTTTTAAGTTCATCATTTTAAACCCAGAACTTTTAAATTTTTTAGATTGCATTAAATAGTGCTGAGTAAAGTAAGCAAATACATTCTACAACAGGTGAATAACAGAAGGTGAGTATGTTGTTGATAGACTGAAAACATTAAAGTTACAATAAACTAATGTCAACTTCCATCTAAATGTTAACTAATGTCAACTTCCATCTAAAAGTTTTTTTTAATCCACAAATACGAACTTACAAAAAAACAAACACATTCAACACATAAAATATGAACTGAAGTTCCCACATTCAAAATTTAAGCATGTTATGACTCCTGATTTCATCCTATGTTTTAGCACTATGCAGATCTATTGCATACCCCAGGCTTGCCTCCAAAAAAATTCAAGATTTTTCAATTTAGCAAAGTGTCGCTTGATTGCGAAATGGGTTCTCTGGATGACCATATGATGGATCTGTGCTCCATTCAACATGTAGGTCATTGTAGGGGAGTGGCCGAAGGGGTCAACGGACCAAGACACGTTGGGTGTGATACCTGAGAATAAACATCCAAGAAATGAATCTTATTTGAATTATCTTATTTATACTATTGTGATACAGATTATTTGATTTGAATGCAACTAGGGTACATCATATTTGACTTGGAACATAATATTATTGTTATACTTATCCACATCATTTGATTTGAATGCAACTAGGGTAATTCATAGATGTGTTGGAACATAATATTATTGTTATACACATCATTTGATTTGAGTGCAACTAGGGTACATCATAGATGATATGGAACATAATATTATTGTTATACACATCATATGATTTGGCTGCAACTAGGGTTCATCATAGATGATGTGGAACATAATATTATTGTTATACACATCATTTGATTTGGGTGCAACTAGGGTACATCATAGATGATGTGGAACATAATATTATTGTTATACACATTATTTGATTTGGGTGCAACTAGGGTGCGTCATAGATGAATTGATACATAATATTATTGTTATACACATCATTTGATTTGAGTGCAACTAGGGTACATCATAGATGACATGGAACATAATATTATTGTTATACACATTATTTGATTTGGGTGCAACTAGGGTGCGTCATAGATGAATTGATACATAATATTATTGTTATACACATCATTTGATTTGAGTGCAACTAGGGTACATCATAGATGACATGGAACATAATATTATTGTTATACACATCATTTGATTTGAGTGCAACTAGGGTACGTCATAGATGAATTGGAACATAATATTATTGTTATACACATCATTTGATTTGAATGCAACTAGGGTACATCATAGATGACATGGAACATAATATTATTGTTATACACATCATTTGATTTGAATGCAACTAGGGTACATCATTGATGTTGTGGAACATAATAATGATCAACATTAAAATTCTTAAATAAAAGAAAAAAAAGATGCCAGAATTAAGTTTCTTAGCTGACCTAAATTTGAATGAAGCCATAAATGTCCTTCAATCATCTGGTCAAGCATTGATGTGTAATGACTAACAGCCTCGTCCGACATCACCCATCCACCACTGACCACTTCCAGCTGACCATTTTCTATCAATCTAAAAAAATTGGAGACAGTAAGGTTTAAACTTACAAGCACACAAGGACCTTTAAAAATAAGTTTGAATAGGTTTTTTTTTTTAAATGAAAAAATAAATATTGCTAAATGTGACATTCATATGGATGAAATTAAAACAGGTGGTTAGTGGAAACAATAAAACAGCATTCTGTTAATATGCAAATTAAACTAAGGTAACAGTTGTTTGCAGATAAGACTAAGTTAACTGATTTTACTCCCATACCAGCCCTCACCCCAAACAGATTAAGTGGAAAGTCTAATTTGGTTCCTAAGCTATGTGTCTTTTTTTACTTATTTCTGGCATCCGTCCATCACACTGTGATGATGGTGTAGATTTCGCAGGACAAAATCACAAGGCTTGGGATTATTCTTTAAGAGTGTAAGCTGTTCCATACACAGCAAATTGCCTCTCTCCACGCACCTGGATAACCCCAGGGAACATCATAAGTGGATGATACAGCTTGGCACCAGTAGCGATGCTGGAGCTTTCAGCATTTTTCATTGAGTTAATGTTATCAGCCTACGGGACTCCATCTCAGGGTTTGAATTCAAAGTTTGCCTTCACTTGAAAAGTCCCATCCACCCGGAGAGCTGGTGATGTTTTTACTTGACTGGGCTTTGGTGGAAAGTGAACTCCAGACCACTAACTTCGAATTGACTCAGTTTAGACCAATTGGCCATCCAGCACTGAGCTAAGCTTTGTGTGTTGAAGTTGAATCTGCTTGGTGCCCCTGCATACTGAACTAAATTTGTTTAAGAAACTTTAAAAGAACAAACAAATAACTTAAGTAAGAAAAATACAATAACCTTTTAAACTGGTCAACTTTGCTGCTTGGCAAGTTAAACCACTTTTCTAAATAGGATACTTCAGACCAAATAAATTTCCAAGTTGGATTTTCTCCTAAAAATTTGACAATATAATCAAGTGTGCTCCTTGTGTAACTGTTGAAGTAACTGTCAAAAGTTTCACGCCAACCTGAAAAAAATGCCATGGAGCTGAACTTAAAACTTGATAAGTTTTGTTCACAAACAATTTGAAAGCAGGCATATGAAATTATTAAGAATTTAAAACCTTAAGAACTAAAGAAAACGTTTATCAAATAATGAAATTTGAAAGAGACATTAGAAATTAAACTTTAAAATTTGAATCATGTTAAATTTAATGAAAATAAATTCAAAATGACCACTCACCTGGGTCCTGATGTGAATGTGGCACTATTATGACTTTTAAGGGTTTGGCGTCATAGTTGGGGACATCAATTACTTGAATCCAGCCACTTATTGTGTACACATACTGGGGGTACCCAACACCTATATCATTCCACTCTTCCTCCATCTGATAAAATTTAAAAAAATGAAGAATGGAGTTTAATGACAGTACAATATTTTGAACATAAATTTTAGTTTTCCTGATGGGACTTATGTGACAAATATTATAATTTAGACAACAAAAAATGTGTACCCAGTAATATAAAGTTATGGATACATTTCATAGCATCAGTTTAACACACTCAAAAGGCAAAAATATAAGAAACTTGAATTAATGGATTTAGTAATATTATTTAAAATATAATAAAGCAATTGAATAAATGGATTTATCCCACACACCTGAATGTCTGGCTTGGGAGGCTGAACAGGAACATGACAAACTCCTGGTTCCAATGATTTTACTTTCAACGAATCAGAAAACTGGGAAAAATCATTGTGCCGAGTGTAATGGATTTTTTGACATTCTTTGGCGTAGATCTGAAAACTCCCATCCTAGAAAAATATAATTATTTAAGTTGTAACAAACCATTAAATAATTCAGTTCAAGATAAAATTACTGCTTATTGTGATAAATTAAGACTAACAAATTAAATGGGCCCTTAAGATATAGAAGAAGAAGAAATGCAGATGTTTATGAAAAAAAAAATAAGTACAGTTCTGAAGAGCTTTTGCGCGGGGTCTCTATTTTGAAAAGTTTGAAATAGAGTGATTTTGCAGGAGTTTAGAATATTTTATCCAGTTGTTTATTTACACAACTATGTCCCAAAATTTAAAATATTTTTCTGTGAGTAAATATTATTAAAATTAAAAAAACAATAATGAGGCAATGAGGCCTAAGGCAATTTTTTGTAATCTTGGGACTTGGGCTAACCTGTTTTATTTTTGGGCGAAAGACTTGACCTTTTTGTTGCATGTGAGACATATTTCTTTCCAGGTGTTTGTAGCTTAGCCAAATAAGAAACACATACACAATTCCAATCAATAAAATAAGCCTCAAGGTAGTCACTTTGATAATTCTGGATAGTAGAGATCTTGATACCATTTTGATTTTTTTTCTTTACCAGTCCAGGATCTAGTAAATTAAATTTAAATTTATAGGTCTTGAGTAGATGTCCATACTTTTAGAAATGATGCTTTTCAAATTTTGTCTTACATAATTTTTTATTAGTCATCATTAGGCTAGGGCAGCGATTGGGAGTCATTGAAAGTCTCATAAGGTAAGTTGTTAAGGCAGGTATATTGTAGTACTTTAGTCTTTAGTTATACTTTTACTAAGTTTTAGCATTAGAAGCTCCATACTTTACTTCAAAATATATTACATAATAACATATCAGCCTATTTCTTTTCTCTTTTTTTTCAAAAATAAACACTTGGAAGAGGACTATGAACTCAGACTCACACCTCACTCACTGGCCTTTGGTATGAAATAGTATAGCCTTACTAAGCCAAGGCCAAGGACTGGGACTGACTCCAAGCCCATGCAAGAACTTGAACAAAAACTTGGCACGCCAAAACTTAGAACTCAACAAAGTACAAAAGTCAAAGCCACAATCATAATGCCGAAAAGTCGTAAATTTGAATCAGTATCAAATAAATTTAATATTAATTTAATAAAAATAGATTAATAATTATTAGTGGACGTGGAGCTCTAACTTTTAAAATAACAAAAACAACTAGTTTTATCAAGACTTTCCAATAATTTTTTTCCCCGGTCATGTTTGGATAAATGTTTTATGAGACTGTAATAATATAATGTTATTGATCTTGAACGAGAGGTTTAGACGAAACTACTACTATACCGGGTACTTAAGACTTTTCAGTTATTTATTATCATTGTTTACATGGACATAAAATAAAACCGGATGGTGCGCTCCCTTGTTACTGTATAGAACTTTAATGGTTTAGGCTAAAACTCGCCATACATGATTATACAGAAATAAAAGTATTCTAAAGACATGGTTCCATATTTCAAAAACGATGTTCGCGGAGTGATTGTTCATTAGTTAGATGTTGAAAAAAAATCTTTGACGGTATCTATTTCATCATTATCTCCTTCTTCTGTCCATTTTTACGGGTAGGCGTCACTGGAAGGTATAGTTGACGGAGTGCCGCAAGGTGTGGTGCCTGTTGGCTGTTGGAGTTTCATGCAGGGTTTCTTTCAGCTATATCTCCGGGGGGGGGGGGGGCCCTCCCCCCCCCCCCCC